TTATCCAGATTTGAAAATTGATTGTATCACTATATCAAAGATATTAAAAAAAACTAATAAATATTAATAACTTAGAGATAATAATATACAGACTAAAAAAACTTTTTGTCATCATTCTGTGAAGTATTCTATATTAGAACTCACCATAAATATATAGATAGAGCAGGTTATAACAGAAGAAATGATTATATTAAAGCTATTAATAAAAGAAAAGGGCTGCTAATTTGTACAAACACTTGCCATATCTGAACAATTATTTGTATTTTCAAATAGATAGATTGCTAGGTTTAAAAACGCAATAGATTAAAAAAATTATAATGCATAGCAAGGCAGCAAGTGCATTCCTAGCAAGCTTATCAGCTGAACAAATTAAATTACAAGAACTTCTATCTTATTATAGCTCTAAAAATATATACAATACAGATAAGACAAGTCTATTTTACTGATTACTCTCTAATCAAACTTTTTTCAATAAAAAAAAGATTGCTAGAAAAAAGAAGATAACTTAGTAATAATAATATTTTGATCTGTTAGAAATTAGCAGAAACTTCATTTCTGTTTATTCATATACAGTCAAGGGTATTATAATTAATCCTTCTGTAATCTTAATATAGTGATCAGAGATTAGTAAAAAAAAAAAATTATTGTTTTTTTCTTTTTTATTTTTATTTTTTTAGAATAAAGCAAGAGTAACAGTTCTACTTTGCTCCAATTCAACTGGCACTGACAAGTTATAGCTACTAGTTATTGGCATTTCTAAAAAGCCACAATCTTTTAATAGGATAAATATATCATAGCTACTAATAACTTATCGAAATAATAAAAAAGCATAGATAAGAAATGATATTTAAGAAAATTGGCTAAAATTTATTGACAATAGTTTTTGTATCTGAGGTAAGAAGGTTCTGCTACTCATTGACAATGTAGCTTTTCACATAACTCCAAATACAAATAATATGGCTAATGATACTGAGGAATTATCATCAGGTTAGTTAAAGTTAGATTAAAAATAAAAATAAAACATAAAGTATAAAAAAAAATTAAAAATTAAAAAATTAAAAAATTAAAAAATAAAAAAAAAATAAAAAAAAATACAGTAATTCCACCAAAGAAATTAATGATCAACAAGAGCCCCAGAGAAATTTACAAAGAAAGTTTCAAGAAAGGTTCTGAGGATCTCAAAGATCTAATCTTATCTATTTAAGCTAATCAAGATGAACTTCAGAAAATTTTTATTTTACAAATATTACAGTGCATTACTTTTCTTCAAATATGGCAGCACATCTTCAGCCTATGGATGCTGACATAATTAAAAGTTTTAAATCAGGATATAAGAATTTATATTGTTGTTATTTGCTTAACCAATTTGAGAAAATAAAGATCAGAAATAAGAATTTATAGTAAAACCTCTATCTATAAGTGCACCTACTATAAGTATATATATTCTCTAAATATATACTCAAATTTGGGCCCAAATATATATGCTATGTATTAAATTAAAATTTGTATTAGATTAAAATTTAAAAATTGTTTTATTAGAGTTAGAGTAAAATCTTTGTTAGGGTAGATAGATATTAGCAGCATTATAGTTATTTTAATCTGATGAATAATTAATTTAATATACAATAATCTTAAGTATGTATACTTATAAAGATTTTATTGTGCTTTTAATCATTCAAGTTAGATGAAATAAAAAAAGAACTAACAAAAATAAATTAAGAAATTCTATTTTTACTTGAGTTAAAGTTACCCAAAATATTATTAAAACTAATAATTTTAGTTACATAAATGACAGTTTATTGAGTAACTTTAATCTAGATGAAAATAGAATTTCTCAAATAAATTTTGTGAAAAATTGTATATTATAAAATTCTGTAAAAAATCATAAGAAAATAAAACTTTAATACTATTTTAAATCATTTGATACTAATAGTTTTATATAATATAGAAAACTTTTCTTGAAAAAAGCTATCAATTTTATCTCTGATACTTGAAGGAAAATTAGTGAAAATACTATAAGAAACTGCTGGAGAACTACTAAAATTATATCAAAAACAAGCGAACTAAAGGAAAGTGAATCAGATAATGAACTTCAAGACAAGACCACTAATAATAATGTTGTTGTTGCTTTGCTACTTAAAGACCTTTCTGCTGAAACTGACCTAGTAGCTCAAGAATTATCAAATAATATTGAAGAATATATTCAAATAATTGACCAACCAGCCATGACAGAAGACATACTAATAGATAAAGATATTATTGAAATAGTAATAAACAAATTTTGTGATTATGAAACTGATGATGACGATGATGACGAAGAATCACTACCACCCTCAATAACTATAACAGAGGCTGTTGAAGTATTAGAGAAAGTTATAAGATACCAAAAAGATCTCAATATTGAAAAAGAATTTGATGAGAATGGGTTAATTATGTTACAAAAAAAGCTCAAAGAATGGCAATATGAAAAAGATAAATCTAAAAAACAAACTTCAATCTTATTTTTTTTTAACAATCCTTGTAGCATTATGTTCACCATATTCTAAATTTAATTTTTTTTTTTTTTTTATTTGGTATGATATTTTTTTTAAAAAATTAATCGATTATTTAGTGTATAAATTTTTTTTTCTTAAAAAAAAAAAAGAACTCTGAACTTTGTTAACTTGGTTACAATTATCAACATAGTATTGGTATTAAAAAAGATAAGAAAAAAGCCTTTAAAGTGATTCTGGTTATTGAATTGTAAGGGAAGACAATACTTTGTAGAAATAAAAAAACAGATTTGATTTTAAAATAAAAAAAAACTAATCTAAAATAATAAGAAAAAACTTGGGATTAGTATAAGTAAAATAGCCATTTTAAAATTTTTATT